TCTCACTTTGTTGGATGAAGTATGGAACTGCACAACTTGTCATCTATAATGACAACAAACCTGATTGGGGAGTTTATGAAACGAGATAAAAATGAGGTTGATACGCGATCTAAACATAGATAACTCATCAATATCGTATAAACAGATAATACGATTGTTTCTTTGCCTAAAAAATAAAAGACATAAACCAATTTGCACAATTCCTATGAATGATGTTACTCAAATATAAACGCTCCCTTTTATATGAGTTAATTAACTCATATAAAAGCAGAATCACGATAGATGTTAAATTAAGAGGCGGAGCTCCGACACCTATGAGTACTCATCCGTACTTTGACCTATATCCTTTAAATCATACAAACATACACAATCTCCCAGATTGGGGGAAAATTTGACCCACTTTTGGTAAGCCGCCATAGTAAACTTTGGGGAAATGACACGAATTCCTCAATACTTCCCCATAATCTTTTTACATTTTATGGAAATCGGCTTATATTTATTGATAAAACCTCAAATTTTTTCACATTTTTGAGAAAATTTTGCGTTTTTCACCAAAATTCCTCTAAAGTTGGGAGCTTGGGATACTTAATTAAATTAGTTTAAAGTAAACTAAGCTAACTTTCAGCATGACATCAGTCAGGATTGCTTTTCCCATGAACTTACAAAGAGCACCGAATCGCAGGCTGAAATTTTATTGTTATATTGAACAGGTTGGGAACTAAAAACTCCGTAAACAATAATTCACGAACAGCCCAGAAGTGACCTTGAAGTAACGCTTCAATGGTATCGTCCACTGATAAAGGTTATTGAGCACTTGAAGGTCAAACTGTTATGAAATGATTGGTGCTTCACCACGAGATTTATAAGGTTTCGCAGAAGCGGTCAAATCAAGATAACCCTTAGATTTTATTTAACTTCAGACACATTATTTCTGATAACATCAGTGTCAGTTTGGAAAGGACAAGGACGATTGATGGCCTGTGCTAGTCCTGGCAATGGTGGTCTCTCAGTTGATCCAACTTTCTTTTGAAAGTGTCGACGGATGAAACCTCAATCATGTGCTGAGTTCATGAATTCCACTCGTTGATGATTTGATGAGAAAGTCGACAGTCAGCTGATAAGTAATTTGTTCTGGGCTTTTCTGGAGTGTCCTCGTAAATTCTCTGTTTTGGAAGACAAGAAAAAATGAAGTAATATCAGATGCAAATCTATCACTAAACAATTTGAAAACTGTAATCAAGTCGCCTCTATTTCTCCGATATGACAACGGGAATAGATTTAGCTTGGCCATTCGAGCATCGTACAGAAGCTTCGCTATTCCGTGAGTTGGTTTAATTGCTGTTCTTTGAATCTTTTCCAAAAGCTCACAGTCTTTCTTTAAGCAGGGGCTAG